GATAACCGGCGTGGGTTTGAATCCTCCTAGAGTTAAAATTCATATTTTTATCTGATTATTACGAATTTTTTGTAGATCGCCAGTGAAAGTTTAAACTATCAGAATTATTCGATCATCGGCAAAAAATTCATCCATGTAATTTGCAAAGTATTATTACTAGAATTATTGAATGATTCATGATAAAAGGATCACAAATCCATCAAGTAAATCATCATTGATTGATCGACCTCAACTAAACTCACCTCAACTCTTTGTCAGGTGACAACCGTCAGAAAGTTGTAAAGTTGTCATTTTTCTATTTCGCCGCATGACAGTTGCCGAAGATGATTTGGCAAATCATTTCATTAATCTCTATACTTTGCAAGATGATCTAGAGATTGCCCACATCGTACTTGTTTGAAGAGAGCCTTCGAAGTTGTGGACATTGTACAACAATCCTCTCAAATGCTCAAGATTCTGGTACATCATTATCGTAAAGCCATAATTCTATTTTTCTATTTCTAACTTAATTCTGCTTCATTTAATTATAATTTTTATGATTTAAATTTATCAAGATATACTTCATTCAATTACAATTCTTTCAACTTTTACAAATCTTAATTTGATATATTAAATCATTTGTAATCACTTACATAAGAATCATTGAGTGAAACTCTATTTCTGTCCAATTTGTGTTTATCAGGTTCTGACATCATCTTGATGTCTGCACCCTTAATTTTCTTTTTTACGAATTTTAAATTTATTTTATTTTCATTTTCCTAGTATATAATTCATAAAAAATCATATTCTTTTTAAAAAAATTCTGAAAAATTATCCGATATTATATTACATCCTTTTGATCCACTGGGAAAATTATCACTATTTTTGTAAGTTTATTAAATTATAATTAATATATTTTTTGAAAAATATTTTTAAATATTTAAAAATTAATATTTTTTAGTTTTATAAATTTAAATTTACGTGATTTACTAGACAATAATTAAGTCATGTCAGTGACCAAATCGCTTTATGTGATGAAAATTTCTTACTTCCAAAGTATTTATTTTTACTTTTCTATAGTAAGTGAACTAAATTACTAATGTAGTCATATACTTGGAAAGTGAAGAAGAAGTTGTAGGTAGAGGTGCAACCACTTTAGAATTGAGCTGCCATAAGAAGAATATTCAAAGAAGGCCCAACAAAGGCACAAGAAGGTATTTTAGAAAAGTGAACTTTCTACAAACTTACTTTATCTCTTTTCCTTTAGAAGGTATTTTAAATGATGTTTAGAGTATGTCCCTAGGATCTCTTCATGATCTTAGTTTATCAATTTGTTTTAGGTCATGTCAAAGCAAATCAAAGCTTATCCTTAAAATCTATTTCAAATCTTTATTTGTCATAGTCTATTATAGGTAATTTCATAGTCAATTAAAGTTTGTCTATAAGATCTAGTCAAGATCTCTATTTGTTAGAGTATGTTTCAGGTCATTTCAGAGCCAGTCATAGATTGTCTCTAAGATTTACTCAAGATCTTACTTTTGGGAGTGGCCCACCTCCTTTTAAGGTTATATAAAGGCCACATTGTAAGTTGAATAAGACACTTTTGAAGTATTATCTCATGTGAGATTGCCTTCTTTATGTTTGTGGATTTAATTGTCCTCTTGTGGATTCAAGGGCCCCTTATCGATCTTATGGATTCAAGTGCTTAAGGCTCTAGTTCTATGAATTTAAAAGCTAGTTTCTTCTTCAAGATTCATGCTTAGTAGATTCAAGTTCAGATCTTGTTATCTTTTGTGTTATTGTTGCGTCAATTAGTTAGTTACTATATCAAGGAAATGACTCAAATTACCTACAAAGGTCTTAATGCTAATGATGACCTAAAAAAAAAGAGTTGACTTAGCTAAAAATTTAGGAACTAGAAAATAGATATTATAATGATCATTAGATCCATGGTATTCCTTAAGAAAAATGGTTAGTTTTTCAATTAGGATTTAAAATATTATAAATTCAATCAATTTGAAAACTGTTAAAAGACAAGCTTACTTGTGAGAGGTCTTCTAGTTTTTCAATTAGTTTTCTGATGCATACATCACTAATGTGTTAGAACACTACATCATCTCATTTTGATAAACAAATAACACAACTATCATGGTGTTTTCTATCTATCATACCCTAAGATAACTAGGAAGAGAAAAATATGATTGAATAGCATTATATATGTAGAGCTGTTTTAGACTTGATATGAGCTGATTTTATGAAGAGACTATCTTGAGGCATTTGGGTGATTGATCTTGTGAGTGTCAATGTGTATTTCATAAAGTAATAATAAATATTGGAATGAAGTTTCCTCTAAAAGTAGAAGTAGCTAAGTGAGAGATGAAACAATGTAAAAACTTTGATGTTCTTTGTGAGAGAGATTTTTGAGAGGTCTTATCATAACATGTGTTGACAAATATTTTGACACACACATGTCTAGTTTAGTGTTTCACAAAAATCAATAGAAATCCCAAAAATGTCAATTCAGCCCCTCTATTGGTGTTTGACATAGCCTTATAGTTCAGAAAAGGATATACATTTTTATTGAATTTGATATTAATTTACAAAAAACTTAATGTTATCTATCTCAAACATTTTTTTACATTGCTCATCACATATATTTGTGTACCTAATATTTAGAGTGCTGCTCACATATCCTTCAAACTAAAAGACACTATAATATATTTTTCCGATAGACATGTAACTAAGAGAACATAAAAAGGTTATAAAATTTACATAAAAAAGTTATCAAGGCATCAAGTTCAAGTCATCAAGGTTTTTCCTCAACTTGAATACCAAGTACACATGACATCTACCACTAAATCAATCTGGTTGTTACAAATAGACATTTTCCTTTGTATTGATGTTGATAAAGCCCATCTTTAATTCAATGTGTTCAAGTAAAATATCTTAAATTATTGATACTTCCAATACTTTTATGAGAAGTCATTTTCATTATCATCTTCTTCGTCCAAATTAAATCTTCTAATCCCTATCTATTAGTAGAAACACTCGAAATAATGTTAAATTATTAGTAAAAAAAACTTGTTTTGTAAACTTTTAGAGTGAATGTGCAACCCGTAGTTAGTTATATACAAATAATCATCAATCTGCATAATATACAAATAAATTAAATTTCTGATTTTCACTCTATGAAAGTCTCTTTATTTATAATGGATGAAGTCACTATTGGAGCTGATGTTGATCAAATACATACAAGGAAAAATGCTAATTTTGATATTTAATATTTAAAATATGATAACAGTTTTTCTAATCCTTATTGAAGTGCGATATGATTCTAAGACAAATTTTAAAAGTCCTTCATGCTTACCTATTTCAAGAAGGGTTCAAGATACCATTAGGAAGTTCACATAATATAAAAAAATAAGATGCTCAAGAGATGTTCCATGTAAAATTTGTATTTTTCTTTCTAAGAAATGAGTCAACTTAGTATCAAGGGTCTTAACCCTCATAGGAACCAAGAAACCATATAAGTGAGTTGACTCACTTTGCAAGTATTAGTGATCATAGTGTCCATGGTCATATTAAAGAAATTAGTCTAGTCACTTGCCAATAAGAGTCTTGTTACACGTGATCACCTGCTAACAATATAAGAATATGATGATATTATGATGTAGTTATAAAACCCTAAATGCATCGGTTGTATTCTATTATAGTATCTACCCCCTTTTTCTGTAAAATTTATGGTTTTTTAGATTTTAGAGTATTGTGAGAAGAATCAAAAGTTACATTCTAATTTGATGAAGATAGGAATCAAGATTCATAGTGGTTGCACATACCAAGCTTACTACAGTCTCTTCTAGATTCAATGCTCAAAGTTTGCTAAACTAGATTTGTGCCCTACTAATCTCTTCTAGGATCACCCCTCTAGGTCTCCTAAGTTAGATTAGTGGCTTGATAATATCTTCTAGATTCATAATTTCACATCAGATAGACTATAATAGTGTCCAACTAATTTACATCACATTCATAGCTGTATGTTGGCCAAACTCTCCATAGACTTGGGTATGTGAAGTACAAGTATCAAATCATAAATCAAATCTTCCTACAATTCTAGAATGTACTTTTCTTGGGTATAGATGAGTGTCTTCAAAGGGGCACAAGCTTCTCTTTTCATGGATCCACTTTCAATGGTCAAGAATGATCTAGAAAATATTATTTTTGGAGCACAAAATCATATTTGAAATTTTACAGGGGTTAATCTCTTATAAAATAAGTTTCTTATTAAAAAAATTGGCTTTCCTATAGGAGGATGTGATAAGTCTTCATTATCATGAGTTAATAATTATTAAATAATATAGTTTTAATCTTAACTCATGATAAATAGATTTATATTTGTGTTAAAATGTGAAAAGTGGTTTTCAATTAATTAACATAAATTTTTGGGTAATTATGTGATTTTATGATTTTTACAGTCTTACTTTTGAGATAAATGAAGAACAAGAAATAAAAATAAAAATATTACAAAATAGGAGGACCCACCAGTCAGTTGAACCTGCAAGCAAGTTAGAAGCACAGTTGGGGAGTAACTGCGAGCAGGGGCTCGAGCAGCTTGGCTTAGACCGATAAGAGTATGTGTGCGCCACTCCCCTTCCACGTCACCAGTGGTCAGCCAGCTGTGGGGCAATGAGTGGTCATATACATGAGAGAAGGAACTTTACTTACAAAGCTAACATTATTATATTTTCGTCCGAAAAATCGGCGCACAACTGATGTGGGACTAAACCCGCGTCACACCTTCTTTAGAAGAGGTGGGCGACTGCCGCAGGTTCAAATCTTCCCAAAGTCAAAATTCATATATTTTTATCTGATTATCGCGACTTTCCTACAGATCACTAGAGAAGGATTAAGCAACAAGAATCGTTAGATCATCGGCGAAAATTTCGTCAATGCGATTTGCGGAGTATTGCTACTAAAATTGCTGAACGATTAACAATAAAAAGATTGCAAATCCATCGAGTAAATCATCTCCGATTGATCGACGAACAAATTGTCGTCGGGAAGAGAACAATTCGCCAGGAGATGAGTCGCCACCTCTTGAGAGCATACTAGATGTGATGAAGAGCCTCCTCTTGTTACGCGGACTTGAGGATGAAGCTCCTTGACATGCGCCCCACTTCTATCTAACTCCTCTCTATCATGTGACAGCTGTCAAAGAGTTACAAAGTTGCCATTTTCTACTCTGCCAGGTGACAGCTGCCGGAGATGACTCAACGACCCATTTCATTAAGCTCTAGACTTTACGAGAAGATCTAGAGATTACTCACATTGTCTTTGTCCAAGAAGAGCCTTCGAGGTCGTGGACACTACACGACGATCTTCTTGAACGCTCAGAATTCTAGTGCATCACTAACGCATTGTCGTCGCGACGCCGGAATTCTATTTTCCTACTTTCAATTTACTTTACGTTTTATTTAGTGATAGTTTTTGTGTCTTGAATTTACCAAAATATACTTTGTTCAATTATAATTCTTCTAGCTTTTATAAATCTTAATTTGATTAATTAAATCATTTGTAATCACTTATGTAAGAATTGTTGGGTGGAACTCTATTTCCACCCAATTTGCATTCGCCGGGCACTGATGTCATCTTGACGTTCACACTCTTATTTCCTTTTTTGTGAATTTTAAATATATTTCCTTTTCAATTCTTAGTATAAAATTCATAAAAAAAAAAAATTCTTTGAGGAAAATTCTGAATAATTACCAGATATTATACTACATCCCTATGATTGACCTAAAAAATTACCGTTATTTTTGGAAGTTTTATTAAATTATAATTGATATATTTATTCAGAAGTATATCTAAATATTCAAAAATTCGTATTTTCTAGTTTTATAAATTTTATATTTGTGTGATTTAATATACAACGACTGAGTCCCGTCAGGATGATACCTCGCCCGGTACGTAGGGTCGGTCGGTTTGTCAAAGAGACGTCCATTTCTGCCGGTAGGAAGTCTCAAAAAACAAAAAACTTGGCCTCACATGTCACTTACCATACAAGGACCCAGTCGCCATTTTCTTAAACCGGATTCGCCCGTGAGGAAAGCCTTCCGCCCATGGCCGAGCTCCACCGACGGCGGTGCTCGTCGACATGTCATCTGCTGGCGACGGTCGTCGTCGTCGTTCACCTCTGTTGCTCTCACACCACCCGAACCCAAGGTCTCGAGAACCCCATTGCCACCGTCCCATCCTCTGTTTCCCGCTGGCTGATTAGACCCCCTATGAGAAATTTCACCTTCACCGACGGGTCGCAGGTGAGACCGATCCTCCTCCGGCAGAACAGAGCAGGGCTTGGAGTCAGCTACGCCTGTGGCTTCTACTGCCGCGGAGATTGCGCCTCCTTCATCTTCGCCATCTACATCATCCACTCAAACAGCGCCGGCGAAATCGTCCTCCCGGCGAGCGGGTTCCCGCAGGTTGTGTGGGCCGCCAACAAGGCCCGTCCGGTTACGGAGAACGCGACCCTGGAGCTGGCCTCCGACGGAGACCTGGTCCTCACGGACGCCTATGGGACCAGGGTATGGTCATCCGGCACCTCCGGCAAGTCCGTCGCCGGCATGAACATCACGGAATCCGGGAACCTGGTTCTCTTCGGCGGCGTCAACAACCAGACCATATGGGACTCCTTCTCCAGTCCGACCGACTCCCTCGTCCCCGGACAGAAGCTGCAGGTGGGTCAGGCCCTCACGGCCAACGACTCCACCGCCAATTCCATAGATGGCCTCTACTTCCTCTTTGCCAACTCCACGGGGCTGATCGCCTTCGTCGGATCCAACCCACCCGAGAGATACGCTTCCTACACACCGCCGACCAGCGCCCAGGGAACGACGATAGGGTTCTTCGAGTTCAGGAACGGAAGCCTCTTCACGAACACTTCCGACCAGTACCTTCCACCTTCCCAGTACCTGCGGCTGGAGTCGGACGGGAGCCTCGTAGTGTACGAGTGGAGATCAGAGGGATGGGTCGCCGGAAGGGATCTCCTCAATGATCGTGGGACTTCCTGTTTCTATCCGACGGTGTGCGGTAGGTACGCGATTTGCTCCGGCAACAACCAGTGCAGCTGTCCCCAGTGGGACGCCGGCGGAAATGACTTTTTCCTGCCCATCGACGACCGGAACCTTGGATCGGGATGCAGGGAGGTGACGCCTCTGTCGTGCGAAGCTCCGCAAAATCACAGTGTGCTGCGTCTGAACGATGTATCTTATTTCACATACGACCAGAAGCCTGCCGACATCTCCGACATAGATCCTGTGGAATGCAGCGCCGCCTGCTCGCGGAACTGTTCGTGCAGGGCGGCCTTCTTCAGGTACGGGACCAACGCTTCCGCAGGGAGCTGCTTCCTGACCTCTGAGGTCTTATCGTTGAAGAACCACCAGCCCGAAGTGGCCCATTACAATTCCACCGCCTTCATCAAGGTTCAGATCCCCACCGACGAAGGGGTATCCTGGGTAGCAATTGGTGTCATCTCTGTGGGATGCTTTATTGGGCTGCGTTTACTGCTCGTTGTCAGCTTCTGTGCTTTCGTCATGAGGAAGACGGCTGCTGCGTTGAAGAGGGAGAAGGAAAGGATGGCAGGTGAGGATGAGGAGGCTGATGATGATCTCGAACACATTTCGGGGATGCCGAGGAAGTTTTCTCTGGAAGAATTGAGAGCTGTGACTAATGCCTTCTCCGAGAGGGTCGGGCGGGGCGGCTTCGGCTCCGTCTACGCGGGAAGAGTAGACGGCAACCCAGTAGCCGTGAAGCACCTTGATGGCGTTGGTCAGGGAAGAAAGGAGTTCCTGGCGGAGGTGCAGACCATCGGGAAAATCCACCACTTCAACCTGGTGAAGCTTGTCGGATACTGCGCCGAGAGATCATCCAAGCTTCTGGTCTACGAGTTCATGCCCAACAGCTCGCTAGATCGATGGATCTTCGACAGTGACCAGAGGAGAGCTTCTCTGTGTTGGGAGAGCAGGCGTAAGATAGTCCTGGGCATAGCCAAGGCGCTCGCCTACCTCCACCAGGAGTGCGCGCAGAGGATTGTCCACCTGGACATCAAGCCCCAGAACATCCTCCTTGACGAAAGGTTTGAGGCCAAGGTCTCTGATTTCGGCATGGCGAAACTAATCGACAGGGACCAGACTCACGTGGAGACGATGATGAGGGGAACCATAGGGTACCTAGCTCCCGAGTGGCTGAGTTCCATGATCACCGAGATGGCCGACGTCTACAGCTTTGGGGTGGTAGTCCTGGAGGTCGTCACCGGGAGGAAGAACCTGGATCGATCTTTACCAGAAGAGGACGCCTTGTTGGTTGAGGTGACGAGGAGGAAGGCACAGAATGGCGACCTACGAGATCTGATCGACAAGAGCATCGAGATCACAGGGGAAGGGCACGCTGAGGAAGCGACGAGGATGGTGCAGTTAGCTATGTGGTGCTTACAGCACGATCACAGGAGGCGACCTTCCATGTCGACCGTGGTGAAGGTACTGGAAGGGGCCGTGGCTGTGGAAACCGACCTGGAAGATGGCTCCTGGGGTTCGGCTGGCATCGACTTCAGCGGCATTGAAGCCAGTGGTTCCGCTTCCTCGATGGTTTCCATGATGTCAAGGACCAGATGAGCGCCGGAGTACGTCGCTTTGGTCCTCTTCTTTTCTCGATCCATCTCTGTTTCTCCTTCCGTTCGATTATACTACGTCTGATATGTGTAAATATAAGAAGAACATTTCCATTTCATATGCAACTATCCTGATGCAAACTCGCTGTTGGTCTCTAGGCCAACCGCAAAGGATTACTACGAACATCCCAAGATCTCAGTTTTACCCACGACAGATGCAGATCTCAATATTCCATGAATGCTTGGGACTGAGAGTATGCACAGAAACCCCAGACCGATCGCTTCTCGACTGCTCTCTTTCCTCCCGGACCATCCGCCGGAGGTTAGGGGAAGGGGGTGGTCTCCTCCCTTCCGGGTGTAACACTCGCCACAGGTTGGGCAATCTTCGTCGGCTCTCTCGAAGGGCACCAGGAAGCTGCTCCCAACTGTGAGATCCCAAACAGAAGGACAAGGCTCTATTTTGCTAGTCGACCCTTCGCTTGGTCTTTGTCTGACGACGGAGGATGAGAGTAGTCAGCGACGGCGGCGGTGTAGATGGCGGCGAAAGACGGACGGTCGGCATCTGGCAGCCGATGTAGATAGCCGTCGGGCATGAGATCCCAAAACGAGAAGCTTACTAGGCTTGCCAGCACAACCTTCGTCCAGCTTCAGGAGTTTGCATTTCGTTTTTTCTCCGATAGTGGATGCCGCCGGCGGTCTGCCCCTTCGGCAAGGAGCTCCCATCTTCCTTGGCCGGCGCCATCGTGGCGCCTCACTGCCGCCATATTCACTGCACAAAAGTCTGTCACGTATGGTGCCAACAATGCTCTCTAAAGGACGGCTCAGTTGCGAGGTACAGGGAATAAATGAAGAGTGGCCATAACATTACATCCCTAGGTCTTGGTGAAAAGCTTAGCTCTAGAATATCCTCCGATTTGAAAGGATTCGCTACCTGGTGGCATGGGAAGAACTCGACTCCTCTCTCACAGTCTCTCTTATCTTCCACTTTGAATCCCGGAGACAGACAAGAGCAGTAGGAGCAGCCCAAGATAGCCGTCCCCAACACCCCCCACATCTTGCTTCCTCCAGCTTAGTTTTCACCCACTCTAGAAGGATGGCAGCAACCATTGGTTGTTTTCATAATGTAACCTAAACACTGTTGTCAAATAAAGGATGAAAAGCTTTTGACCTAGGTAGTTAGAAACATATATTTAGAGGCGTCACTATGCATCATAATTTACTATCATGATCAAGCATATCTATTTTGAGATGATGCTGCCCATTTAAGATCTATATCTAGTGAAGTTGAAGCACATACAACCTGAAGAACCATTTAAGTTGGAGTTAACTAAATTACAAAATTAAAATCACCCCATATAGACTAAGAGACATTTCAATTTTCAATGAATAAATATTGTGAGTTTCTTACTCTCTAAGGTACTCTTCATCTGCTAGTAGACTAGGAGAATTCGTTTCTTTGATTTTTCAGACTCAAAATCATAGCCTCTATAAATTCAAGGGAACTATTTTGATCATTACGAACTCAAGATCAGGCCCCTATGGGCTTACAGTGAAGGATTTTTCATGAAAATCATGCCTTTTGTAGATTCAAGGACGAAATTTCAACTCTATACAACTCAAGATGCATCAACTTGATCAAATCATCATCAAGTTAACATTTTTGCTACATCATTTTATTATAAGCCTAGTGGACTTGGCTAAACTGGCACTTATAACCACAATTTAAGGACTAGATGTTGACCACAAAGTCCCATCTATCATAATCCAACAACACTTCTTGTCATGGACTCGTACTTTGATGAATTCAATTTAGTAACCTTCAAATACGATGGTAACACTCAAGGGAGAAGACTTCAATGGTGAGGTATCATCACTCATATGGTATCTTTAAGTTTCAAATATGAAGATGTTTTACCTAAATATTTGTTAACAAAAAGACTTTGAATGATGAGATTGTTGCCTTTTTGGGGCAAACTCTCAAGACTATCGATGTAAATAGAGGCTCTAAATATCACATGCTAACACGAAACCAATACATGTCGTGAGATATAAAGGAGATTGATCTAACACTTTGGCCTGGAAAGTAGAAAAATAGTTCACCTTATTTTTTCTTGAATTCTTTGTTGTTAAAGTTTTGGCAGTCTTTTTTGCAATTAACATGTACGTCACAATAAATAAACAAATGCAACATCTTGGAGCATTATAGAACATACATATATATCATAAATACTATGATAGTAATTTTGACTGATGATAAAAGTATCAAATTTCTTATCTCATTACTGATGTAATTGCATTAACTCATACTGGCTTCTTTAATAATTATTCCTGATTCCTTTTTAAGCAGTCATAATCCTCTTGAGCAAATGCATGCAAAGTTTCCAATGGGAGCTATCATTTAAGAAAAAGGTTTTGATATTCAACGACTTCATCTAAAAATCATGCATAGCTATAATGGAAAGTAATATACATATAGAGGATGAAGTTTTTACTATATGAAATAATCTCTCATAAAAGTCAACAATATTTCATTAAGTGATGTCCTTCACCACTAAATATGTCTTGAATTTACAGTATTTCATGCTAGATATTCATCCCTAATTCTTTACTAGTGGGATTTGAAGTGTCTTGATTTCTTCCTTGTTGCATAATACAAGTTTGATGTAAAACAAAACACAAGAGAGGGAGGGTAAGAGAATTACAAGAACAAAAAACACACTGAATTTACATGGTTCAAAGAAACCTCCTACATCTATAGTCACACATAGATCAAGCTTTCTTCAAAATTTTGCCTCCTTATAGCCCTTTGGTGCCAAAATGTCTTTGTAAGTCTTGATTACATGAGATGATGGTGACCTTCCTCTTAAAAATAAGATTAAACTTAAACTCTTTGGAGATTTACCGAAGAGCCCACTAAAACTCAATAGGACCCAATGGGAGATCAATCTCCCCAACTCCAACAACAAAACTCAACTTATAAATTACAATTTTTTAGTCATTATATATCATGTCAAGCTCCCATGTAATGTTCTTTAAAAGATGCTCAATCTCTTTTAGTCTGACCAATTATCACTCAAAGAACATGTTTGAAATAACATCCTTACCTTATATGCAACAAATAAATAAAAAGTAGCAATGTTAACAGGTTTATATTCACCCCTTGGCTTCATTACCTTATCCTCTAATATCAAATACAAGACTACATAACTTTGGAGGTGTTTACTATGTTGTTATTCAGTTCATTGGCTAATGCATCTAGGCAGTGTGCTTTCCCTTTTGCACTTCACGGAGAGTTCATTGGCTACTGAGTAGGTGAACCCGATGAGTTCCAATTAACGGATATGCTTCCACTTACGTACACGGAGTAGTCCCTTCGAAGTGCTGCAGATTTCTGATATGGAAGAATAAGATGCGGGGGTCCGATCGAATAGAAGCAATCTACCACCCTTCCCTTCGGGGGTTGAGGCGAGCTAGTACAAGCCCAGTCCGCCTCTCCACCCCCCCCCGCCCCCCTGCAGAGGGTTGAGACTCTCTGACCCAACCTCAGCTTCTGTCTGGGGACGAGGAAGTTAACCGGGCTATCGGAAGGAATCCCAGAGGGCCTAGTTTTTGTGCAGGGAACCGAGCAGACAAACAAACAAAAACTTATGGTTTGGATACTAATGAAATGCGACTACGCATGACAACGATGAACTCTAGGGCTCTACGCTATGATTCACCATACATCGTCATCGAGCATCGTTCTTTCTGTGTATGGTAATCAGCTGGCGGTCTGGAGATGAAGCTGACTGCCGGCGCATCAGACGGGATCTGGCCCGGTGGCGAATGGAGGCGGCAAAATAAAAGCCTCATTTTTCAGCCAAACCCATCCACTCCGACCCACTCTTGCAGTTAAGAGTGGGCAAGACTGAATTTTTCAATAAATATATGGACAAACATATTGCCCATAATCAGTCACGCGCAGGACCGATAAGATCTGCCGGGTTTTTCAGCCAATCTTCACATAATCAATCAATAGAGCAGCTGTCCATAAAGAGCACACTGATACGACGGGTTCTTCTCTAGGGACTTATGTGATAAATACAGAAGATAGCAAGCAGGTGCACCTTCGCTATGCATAAATACATATGTACCACCACCACTCCATTAGCTATACACTAGTATCAAACTAGCTAGGCGAAGAAGCCTTGACTGACCTATACACGCAACCAACCCCACCTTCTCTCCAGGCAATGGAATGGGTACGTACCGCTTCCTTCAAAGTAAGCTCCTTGTCTCCGGGTGATTCCGTCTGCCCTCGCCATGGTAAAGAAAGAGGACCTACCCCGCTGTTTTGACAAGAAAGTGCCGCATTCAGGGTCACCATATCATCAGGTCGGAGCCTCGGAGCTGCTCATGTCTCTTCAGAGCCATCTGTTTACGCAGATCAAAAGGGCAGATTTTGAATAGCCCAACAAATAATAATAATAATAATAATAATAATAATAATGAGATGGTTACAGGGGATGAATTTACTTAGCATACAACGACAGAGATCGAGATGGGGCAGAAGAATCATGAAAGATGATTAGATACCCACCTTCGCCGGATAACTGTTCGACCCGAGCAACGATGTGCTTTCCATATGTGTACTTCTTCAGAGCAGGCAGATGAATCTTGATCTGACGGAGCAATATATCTCGCTGCCTTTCGGAACAGGTTTCGAGGATCTTCTGGACGACGTAGTTGGCAAATTGATCTTTCATCATTATCTAGGATTAAAATATTAACAAGAAGATTAGAAAAAGGATCTGGGCAAACGAAAATTACCTCAATTATATAATAATAATAATAATATGTTCTATTACAACAGTCATCAGATACATGCACAAGATCGCCAAAATGCTTTCCATCGATGTCTAGCAGTTTGTTAGTCTAATCCCAGTTGGCATGATAACGCAGCGCCCGTTCATGGGGTTGACTCTTCGGTATAACTCTGTGGACGCATTAGGTAAAACTAACTCAGATGAACCCTTTCCACAGGGCATTGAATTGAATCACAGCTCTTCTGTCACCGACCAAAGCTCGAATAAGAAGAGGGACGATTTCCCTCTATGAAAAAGTGGAGGACGATACTGAAGGATAATCTGGGACCATCTAACTTATGCTCTACCTAATCCACATGATTTAGCACTTATAATGGAAACCAATCGTAGAAAGCAGATCTGAAGAAGAGGTCATGTAGGTTACAAGTAAACTCTTTTCGATTAAAGGGTGTTCTTAAATGCGAAAAGTGATGCAAACCAGAGCATATGTGTTAATCGAATCCTGATCTTGACCAAATTCGTGATGGGAATTTTATAAGAGTATATTTCACAGGAAAAGAAATAATTAAAAATGGAGAGAGGTGAATAGATGTGATACCCATCAGAAGCGTTATTGACAAAACATATGAGATAAACATTACATAAAATACATAGCTGCCTGCATACAAATAAAAATTTCCTAGGTTTTATTATTCTGATGAAATCAAACTGTCCAGAAAGGATGCTCAACATATTCGCTGGATAAGAAAACTAAACTAAAAAACACCGCAGAAGAAGACAATCCGTTAAGATGAGTGGCAGAATTCAAAGAAAAATCCCCTTAGAAGGTATACCAGTAGATTATCATTCCCCTCTGATTGTCCAATAATTTCCTGGATTAATACTTCTTTGTCTGAATTATCTCCATACTCCAAGCACTTCTCAATAACGTTTGAAGCATACTTATTCTGACTCATTTGAACGATCTGTCCAGCTAATTTTCTAATGATTTGGGCCCTTTCCCGTTGCTTTCCCCTCTCCAAAACGTGCTGCAAACAGTCGTCATGTCAGAATTTCTCTTCAAGAGAAACTAAGAATTAATGAGTAAATAAACCAAAAAGCTGTAAACGTTAATGAGCATACTAGTGCAGGAAAAGGATGTGGAAAAAAGAAAACAAACTCACACAATGAAGGCAGTCAATATGCCCCTATTTCGTCAACAACCACATAAACAGTCACTTAGATGGGCTGCTCTCATTATTCCATATTAATGAGGTAGAGATGTTGAAAGGAAAGGAGTGACCAGGTTATCTATGTCTGCCATCGTGGACTGCAAGAACTTAAATGAGAAAGTCCAAGGATTGTGGATCCTCAAAGTTTAAGGATTAAATTCCCACGATGAAATACCAGAGGTCTGAGATATTTGGAAATGAAAACCCCTTGCGTTAAAACAGCAAGTAAATGAAAGTCATTTTGCGCCAGAGTAGCCATTGAAGCCCACATCAAAACAAGATTTGATACCTATAACGGGACATGCATGAAGCAATATACTGAACAGAATTCATAAAGGTACCAAAATATGTCTATATATACATGCATTAAGCATTAAGGAACCCTCCCAGCATGAACTGCCGTCAAAAAATAGGCAACCACTTAGAATACACTATGCAATAGAAAGAGATGCACGATGAACCTCTTTTTTTCATATCAATCAAGAATATTTTTAATAACTACACTCCAAAGGGTCTGAATTTGTTACGTGGTATCACGGAAAAAGAAAGCAAATGAAAGATAAGCAATACGATAGAGCAGTGGTTGGGTAAAAAAATACATCACCTGTGTTACATAATTGCCATACTGGTCCTGCGCCAAAATACAAACAGACTGCAGTATTTCATTAACTATGCATTGACTTTGTAATTCATCAGAGCAATGCTCCAGAACTCTCTACACAAAAAAGATGCAAAAAGATAATGGGTCAGGCTACAAGTAAAATTAAATAAAAAGGATAATAATCCAAATCTTACCTGGATAACACGGCAACCATAGGGATGAGTGGACAGTGTAGCAACTTGATCACGGAAAGCAGAAATTATAAATCCATTTTTTTCCGTAGGCACGCACTCAATGCATTTCTGGATTACATGGTTTCCATTCTGATCACGCACACAGCGCATGACATGCCCATCAAGTTCTTGAACAAGCTGTATTTTCTGATCAATTTCAATAACCTCAAGAGCCTGCACCAAATTTCAAATAGATGAATCGCACTTGGATGACGAGAAATTCAGCTGAAAGATGTAAATATGACACTGACAGAACTGCTCAGTGTTTTGATGAAAAGCACCGAGATGAAGCCTCATCTGTAAAATTCTAGTGGACGTTTGATTTCCATGAGCCAATTTTCAACATCGCATCGGCTTTTATGGCAATCTCATAAATATATCAACAATTAGATATGAAGGTAAAGTAAACAATCAGGAAAAACCATGAGATCCATTGAAACAACTGTAGTTGATACATGAGCAAACATTATGCAGAATCTTTTAGTGGCACCAATCAAATAATCGTGTCAAGAAAACGAACAACAGCTGAAGAGGCAAGTACCTTTTGAATTACTCGACATCCATACATCTGAAGGCTTAAAGGCAAAATATGGCCAGTAAGCTGATTTGCAAGTTGTCTTCTTTGCTCAGCACTCCCATGCTCAAAAAACTAAGGAAAAAGACACAAGAAAGCTCATTTCAATTAATTGTGCTGGATATTCTAAATTGGAACACAATCAACTTAATATAAATCACCCATAAAACTACTAACAACGTTGCTATGCAATGAACTAGCAATGGATAGTTTTCTTTCCCTTGGGGATTAAACACAGTCATACCTTTTGAATAACATAGTTCCCAAAAACATCAGTCATTAAAGTTGATGCATGTGGAAGGACTTCTTCAAAAACAGCTGCTTTCTCTTCTGCACAACAACTTTCTAGCTTTTGCTGAATAAACCGACTTCCATGCTGATCAGCACTGGTAAAAACATGAAGACAGATATTTAGAAATAGGATTAAAATAATAACAATGAGAAGTCACGTAACATAAATAAATTTGTTACATTACAACTTGCCTGAACTCAACAATGTGCCCAGAAATATCAGATAATTCAAATCTGCGGGCCTTGCTCGATTTCAACTCTTCAAGAAAGGAATAAGGTTTTGGCTCATCAACCTTTTCACGTCCTCTTTGTCCCTGCCATCCAGAATAGACTCCAACATTTTTACTGGAATTGGCAGGCATCCTCGCGTCATTTCTTCTCACTAGAAGGCCTGTCGCAGCTGCCGGTGATTCAGGCATCACAGGGCTACCAACAGGAGATGTACCATACAGCATCATGACGCCCATGCCCTGGGGGCTTCCATAATAATTCGGACTGGCAGCACCTCCCATTCGTGGGCTTGGGATACTGATAGCTCCACTTCTCAGATACTGTGTCCTCTGATCAGGTGAGTGCACAGAACCTTTTGTTTCGTTGTACCTATCTAACTGGTTTCCCATAGCAGGACCCCTAGAAGCAACAGTATCAAATTGACCTCGACCACTATATGCATCCAATTGTGGATGTTGAAAGTATTGCATATACAGAGGATCACCAAAAGATGGTTGAATTGCTTGCCCATAAAACTTGTACAATTGTTGAAGGTCGACACCAGGTGTTGCACCACCACCAGTCGTAATCCCAGTGGTCCTGACATTGAGGTTTGGAATGCTGGGGTTATCAAACGCAACAGGGAATGCACCATGAGGTGTATACCCCGTTATAAATGGAGGCATAATCGACGTATTTAGAGCATATCCACCAATATTGTATTGTGGAGCAAATAAGTTTGAAGACTGCAAGTTTGGGAGAAATGGATTTCCCGAGTTAACATATGCAGTGGGTCCATATAGTGTTGGTGAGACCCCAGAGGTCTGCAATACTGGCACTTCGAGTGGAGGTGGCTTCGGGTGGCCATGAGAAGCACTTTCCATGACATTGTGAGCATGCCGAATTCCTTGTGAGTATACCTGTGACTGAGAACCATGTACATGAGAAACAGCACCTCTTGTGTGAGAATTATTTTGCAGAGAACGTTGCCTTGCAGGTTGATTTATGTGCTCATTAGATATGCTAAAGCTTTTCATTTCAGATTCAACGTCAGATATGGTTGAACCAACAATGTCAGCGACAAAGACTTCACTGTCAAAACGGCCATCGCTGCTGCTTGATTCTCCTTTCAGTCCAGAACGAGAATTCACAATTCTCTCTGTGGATGATGAACTCTGAGGAAGACCCAACTTGTTCCACGGAGCTGCTGTAATGTCACTACCAGCCACTGATCTAACAGTGTGGATACCTGGAGTAGAAGTGCCTGACAACTGCACTGCACTGGTAACAGAGGAATCATGTAGAGGTTCGACAAGAATGTCTGATTCAATTGCCTCTTCTGTCAGAACATGATTTGAAGAAGAAGGCTTGTTATTATAAATAGGAGATGGAGTCCGAGGAAAATCCTCCTGAAAGAAAATCATTAAAAAATATATATAGGTCTCACAATCCAAGAAATAATTCGCCGAAAAGAGAAGACAAATAAAGTAAAAAATGTTGCAAAAAATAAATGAACAGTAAACTGAAGGAAGAATGGGCTTTACGAGATAACTATTTCCGTGCATAATTAAAACTAATTCTACCCCTCTCCATCTATATCTCTCATGCCACATGATCAGAGAAAAACCCAATACATTCATAAAATATGTGATGAGAACAGCTGCAGCATTAGAAAAAATATTCTGACGAAAAAACATCAGGTATCCTCAAAGATTCATCACAGAAGTATTTGCAGTAAAAAGGTCTAAACTCTGAATTATGAAATGATGAAGAGGTTTGTCACCTGTATCAGATCAACAAGACTTTTATGGCGAGCTTCCAGGGAAGAAGTGACCTGCCCAGGAGAAAAACTACTTCTTTCCTCTGGTCGGATACTAGAAGACTGTGTTGGAGATCTATCATCCTCAGGTTCCTCTTCATGAGTGGATAATGAAGCTCTGGACATGAAAGCAGATTCATTACTGCTGTCATCAAAGGAGAGCAATCTCCCAGCATCTGCTGGACGGCCAATGCGGTGAGCCAAATGCCGATTCTCCCGGGAGAAAAGAGGGGGAGGAAGCCTAGGATTCAAGTTGACATTCGAGAGGTAATAAGCAAGGTAAGCTGGATCAGCACGGAGTTGCTCCTCAGATTCAAGCCTTTCAATCGCGTTTGGGATGCTTCCCAATTGATTCTCAATATTTGCATTTTTCTGACCCAAAACATTGTGTATTGCTTCAAAAGAGCCCTCCATGCTAGGCGGTGCGCTTCCACACCTATTAGGAACTGATTCTTTCCTATTTCCATTGAACTTGTGCTCCTTCATGAGCAGCTCAACTCCTTGCAAACCTGTGGTATTTGATGATGAGCCAAATATAATGGGCTCCTTGTCAGCAGGCCACCTTTTTGTTCCACTACCAACTAACCTAACAGGAGACTCTGTTGCCATTGCACTGGCAATAAAGATGAAAGACTTAACCGTCCCTGTTCGGCAATCTTATGCCCTCAACATTTTGCATCCTTACTGCGGCAGGAAAAAAAGGACTTAGTGTTCATTCCACTTGTTAATTTGATTTCTACAACATGTAAACATCACATTAAATAGAGATGATCTGAATGATCCTTACAAAGAATTACCCAAAAAAAGGCATGCAAGAGTATTTCAACAAGAAAATATGCTAAAAGCAAGAAGCATTGTTAACTCAGCAAGAGACATTTACATTTCCTTGAATATTAATAGAAAGACAAAAAGAAAAGAAAAAATGCCCAGCGATGTGACACCAAACCTAGAAGAGAAATAAAAAGACCGAGATGACAAAAGTTCGATTTGAACTTCTAGATGTAGAAGAACTACCTTATTTTCTAATTTTTCCTGTAAAATTAAAAGGATATCTAACGTCCTTGACTTCAGCCCTAAAGAAACCAAACTGATAATGAAGAAGCTTCTATGAGCTCATGAAAACAATACAAGAATATTGTTGAAACTCATGACAAGAATATTTATCCCAGGAAATTTTCTGCATCAAGCCATGATCTCTGTGATGATAAGCACATCATTCTGTGGTAACACCAAAATGGTTAGAAGATTTAAAGGTCATCATGATACTCTAACCACATTTGACTACAACATTGTCCACTAATGTCGTTTCCATGGATCAGCTCATTTCAATTCACGCTCGAGAGGCCTTCACCAACAGAAAACAAATAAAACATTCACCCATGATCAATGCATCAAAAACATAAAGTTAGAGGTTGAGATGCATTTCCTTGGGAGTTCCAAACAGGCCGACCTCATCAAGACACAAGATGTGAAAGACATTCTTAAATGACTGATTCTCTGTGGTTTATCCATGTCCTATTCTTGCATCCCGGGTCCAAATAGATCACACAAAAGGGTTCTGGAAGAGAACGTCAGGTAACATAACTGAGGAGATATCAGGATTCTCTTAGAGAAAGCAGTAATCCACTAAAATGGAAGCAGAGTATGCCCTTCACAGACCCAACACAAGCAGCAGAGGAATACCGATAGGAACGACCACATTGATGACTACGAATAGTTACGTTAACAAAGACCAGGAACAAGACAAATCCAATAAATGGCAGGGTTCAGAGAACAAGTAACGACGGTGCATTCTACAAAAGGCCCAAAACTTGAAATGAAACAATTTGATAGAAATGGCTAAAGAAAAAAACAAAAAAACCTCGTACTTGAAGCTCTCAACTCTCCTAAACTCAGGTCTCTGTCAGTCGGATGACGCTAGGAGATTTCATTCCAGGTTCAATTCATCATTCCGGAAGGAATAAAAACCCAGCTTGACTTCCCACCAGAAAGATCACTCCAAAAAGATTGGTGGAGAAGAGTATCAGGGGGCAAAAGAATCAGTCACGTAACAACAGCTTCTGATCGAGCCCGGCCGTCACGCACTCCATTCAAAACCCGCCGCTCGCAAGAAATACATCCCCAGCCAAACATACCGCAAAACCCTAACGCCGCCTCCCCAGGGAATGGGACGATCAAGGAACAACAGAGGAGGCCATGGAAAGAGTCTCTCACCATGTCAACAAGCCCCAAGAGAACCCTAGCCGACGAGGCCAGCTTCCAGGAACATCATCAATAGGGGCCCCAGCCCCAAAAGCGTCCAAGCTCCCTGTTCTCCGTCCTGCTCCGCGGAGGGTGAGGAGATGGCGCCGCGCGTCCGTAGAGGACGGGCCCGCGGAGGACGACGACGGGAAAGGAACCGCCTGCACCTCTCTCTCTCCCCCCTCCCCCCGGGCAAAGTGTCGCTTCCAAAAACCCTCAAGCGTCCCAGCTTTAGGGAATTTCTGCGTGGGGGCAGCCAACAAATTACATAAATATCCCCACGAAACTTTTCTTTAATCTCCCTGTCCCTAACTGGCCTTTTTCCATTGGGAGGGGAGTACAGATAGCCCGCGGTCAAAGTTCGCGACTCACACGCGAAAGCCGACCCCACCGCCACGTCATTCTAGTTCGAACCGTCCGATCAATGAGCCATTAGATCCTCAGCGCGGGCCCCACCGGATCACAACAGTCAACCGGTCAGTCCGACTGCTGCGCTTCCAACTTGGGGCGTGGATCTGGTCTGGGCCTTCCTTCCTCCTAGTTGACCAAGCGGCCCGTTAAAAAACGAGGGACCACCCACCCTCTCTCTATCTCTCTCTCTCTCCTCGTACCTAGCAGTTGGCCCGGTTCTTTAACGTTTTTTACACGCGGGAAAGAAGGCGACAAAAACGAGGAAAAGGGGTTTCAGAGGTACGCACTCCCTCCCGTGCATCATGATGCGCATCTCCCGGACACCGACGTGAGCTCCGACCCCACGCAAACCTGCCCAAACTTAACAAGCCACACGTTTAGCGTGTGGCGCAGTTATTTGAGAAGCGTCGACACACACGTGGCAGAAGACGTACAAGGCTGTCGCCAGAGGGTTTATTGAGTGCCCGACGGAGAGCACGTGAGACCCATCACGCTCCCCGTTTAAACTGTAGAATCGCCGGGACCGCTGGGACCGCCATCTGTCATCGCCATAAAGGGAAGCCTGACAGGTGTCAGTCACACGAGGTCTACGCTGCCCCCGCCCCTACACCTTCTCCAAGACCAGCAACGGCTCGAGGCCCAATTAGAATTTACAGCGGCCCAAGGCCCAGCCGTCACATAAAAAGACTCGTTCTTGGCAACGATCGAGCAGATCGTTGACCGCACACTGCAGTTGCTTAAGAGGGACAGAGAGAGAGGCGGTTACTCCACAAAATTTCCCCCTACAAGGAAAGGCGGCTGTTTCTTCATTCAAAGTCAGCGGCCGGGTTGGGCGTGGAGAGGGTTGACTTCAGGATAGGATGAGAGATGAGATGAGATCAGCAGGGGAAGAGAACAGGGGAGGGGTCCCTGTGGAGGCGCTGGTCGGAAAGCTGGAGCTTGCTCATCTTCTCTTCGCACCACAGAAGGTGCTCCTTGCTGAGCCTGGCCATCCTCAGGACCCTGGAGACGACCCTGATGTCGATGAGCCCGAACAGAAGCTCCACTTCCTCCTCAGTCGCCGGCCACTGCTTCTTCTTCTTCTTCGCCCGCTTCTGCCTCCTGATGAGCTCCTTCAGCTTCATCTCCTTCTGCACACGGCCAATTGCAGGAATTCAGACTGGATTGCATTGAATGAGGCAGCTGCTGGATGCTGCTGCCGGTAGAGGGCAGAGGGAGGACAGAGGGCTGATCTCAGGTCTCTGCATGAACAAACCAGACTACCTTGTCAAGGGAGTTCTGGACGTGGTGAAGGGAGTTGGCGCACTGGTGAGCTCCAAATAGATTCAAATACCCAGATGATCTCTTCTTGTCCATCTTCAGGAAAATGCGAAATGTCAAAATCGCTTCTTCTATGGCCTCCATGAGATCAGCGGCGAGAACAGTGGAAGAACCCTCCAGATCGTCCTGTTCGTAGCCTTTCGGTTCCAACCCTGCAAAATTACTCAATCAACGAAAGGTATTTCACGGTCGTGAATCACAGTTCCTGAAAGACATGTCCTGTGCGACTGAACCCTCCAGATATGAAGCTCAGAAGTCACCAAAATAGGAGTAAAGATAGCTCGTCCTCAGACCTTGGAGACAAGGAACCTGAAGCAGTTTGGGCATCGCATGGCGAGATTGGGCGTATATCTCCACCCGGGAGCCACGCTCGAAGGGCTCATTTTCTATGAACCTCTGAAGCAGAACCTGAAACTGCTGGAACTCCTGCGTGGCGAAGCTGTAGAAGGTGGGATCCACGGGCTGTGATGATGTCTTTTCTTTAAGCTGAATATACCGACAATGGAGGGCCTCCCAAGTCAAGCAAACGTGTGCCACATAAACTGTCTCAAGATTCTGGTAGTCATCTTCCTCGTCATCCTGCTGCTGCTGCAGTTGCCCACCATCCTCTTGCAGTTCGTTCTTCTTCTTGAAGGATAAACTTCGAATAGTTGACACAAGCTTCTTGGGCGCAGATTTTGGAGATGTGCTTGATACATTTTGGGATCCTATCAGAGGAAACATTCAGGATTCGAGCAAGGGGCAGAAACTGTAAAAAATCGGTCAAAATGACGAAGCTCGTACAATATGGAACGAACAGCACTCCCTTGGACGGGAAATAAACACATAAATATAAACAAAATCTTAAGATACCCCGAAAAACATGATTCTAGGATGATATCACAGCTGATATTGCCCAATTCTGGATAATTAACACATTCAAAGGTCGCAAAAAAACAATGTAAGCTACATATTATTGCGAAACCAATGAATTATTTCTGGAGAGCCAATAATTAATCCGTTCAACAAAATTCGAAATATAAAAATAGCGGGCCACCTGCACGGGAACAAGTACTCCATGCTTCCATACATCGGGTGAGCATACTTATTAAACAAAACAGGGTTGCACATGTCAGATTAATTTCAAAATCGCCAGTAGGCATGTTATAAACTACTTGGTAAAATTAAGTTTGAAGCCAATTGCATAGGCATAGGATTTCACCAGACTTTTTAAATGATATAACGATTCCCCAAGAGCACCATAGGATTGAAGGCTAATAACACAGCAAAGAACGAGACAGAATCAATTCATGGAAAGAAAATTTACAGCTTCAAGAAGGAGGGTGGCTCTATAAATTGCACCTTTCTAGGGAACTAAGAGAAGCCCGCATATATCTACCTTTTTGTTATCTTCCTGGGGAAAATTGGGGATTCCCCCGCCGCACAAGGATGAATTAAGCTCTGTTAGAGTGGGAAAGAAAGAAATGAATAGTCCTCATGACCAAGGCCGCAGCATACCTCGCAGGCACACCCCCCATATCCCACCAGCTTCCTCCGCTGATCTTTCAACAAGTTATAAGGAAAAAACTTGTGAATTGCAGACTGGTGACGAAATATCTCGTTTTAAAGAGCAACATGTAGAATCAAGTTCTTTCCCAACGATAGCAAACATTATCTCAGAGAAAACCTTCATTTGTACGCATTTCACGCGGAATTTTCAAGGTAACCCAACTAACCCAATTATTTCTGCTCTAAAGGAAGAAAGACTGAATCACGAAGCTACAAAAATGTGCTCACGTTCAAAAACTTGGATGAGAACTGCTATAACAGAAAATATTCTGCAATAGCATATTGACCATTTACAATTTGGATGAAGAAGTCCGTAAAAAATCATCATTAACCAATGTACTGGAACACTTTCTTTTGGCGCTGTATAGATAAATCACCATGACGATGCCAACTCGAAAACTTACCAGCATTCAGCAACTTTTGCGCACTCATCTTGTCAAAGAATAGCATCCGCTCACAGTACTTGCCATACAAAGCGTCAAATCCGCACCATGGATAACCGTCCTCCACCTCCGATTCTCTCCATTCACTCGAGCATGTTTCCTCTTCCTCTGGACATGATTCTTCAGGAATGAGAACCATGAAATTGCTTCTTCTGAGCTCCTTCAGCCGCCTCTTTATCTCATTAGTAATCAAATCATCATCATCCTCATCCTCCTCTACATCCGGAGCCGAATCACAAACAACTGCCTTTGGCGAAGCATTAGTATTGTCGGCCTTCAACTCAGTATCCGGTGTCATGCTCTCCTCCGGATCAAGATTTTTAGCCTTGGATTTGTGAGGTCTCCAGAGATTTTTCACTTTCAAAAATTCCATTTCTCACTTTCACCACAATGTTAGAAGTAACTCTTCTGTAACACTTCACAGAATGGAAAACGATCAGATATCAACTCTCGCCCCCCCAAGATTGAAACTGGTTAGATATCTAACACGGCCTGATGAAAGATAGATCTGCCCTTTTCGACCCCTCACCTCCGGGACACAACTGAATAAATATCCAGAAAGAGAGATAGGAACCTCCGGGTTGTCAAAACCAATTAAGCGAAGGAAAGAAAGAAAACGGCAGAAGAAGAGTCAGTCACTTGAGCAGGTTCTCTGAACATCCACTGGAATCCCCCTAATGCGGCTCAGAGAAGCACCATTCCACAATCTCCCACCTTCAAAGCATTCCGCACCAAAAGCAGCAAATCAAACAAATGACAACCACAAATAAAAATTAACTTATAGCTCCCCACGCACACCCCCACATACACAGTCTGCCTTACCACCACCCAACCTAATGCCACCAGAGATCTTCCAGCACTCGTGTCTCGACAATGCTACTCAGACAGACGTTCAACAACAACCCGCTCGAAAAGGTGTCAGTGCCGTAGGAGTTACTCTCAGCCCCCGCTCCCACACACACACACAAAATGGTAAGAAGTTCGTCGTGCAACCTTCCAGCCGTCCTATCACCGGAGAACAAAGAGCTTCTTCCTCCAAGAGAACTGCCGGGGAACTGCAGGAAACGAAAGGGGAAAAGAGAACGCTCTTCCGCTTCACAGAGATAATGCTCCACCCCTCCCCTGTCCGGCGACGGGACCGAGCCCCCCACCACCTGCACAGGAACCAGGGGGCCCCATCCGCGATCAGAGGAAGAGGACGGTCCCCTCGCGCTGTCTAGGGTTCCGGAAAGGAGATCAAACCGGACGGGGGAGCAGAGGAAGAAGGTCCAGGAAATTTGCGCGGGAGGACGTACAAGTGGTCTCCGTCGGTGGGAATATTGTCAGAGAAGGCGCCACCCTAGGAAAAGCGATAATCCCAAAATGCCCTTACCCCATCCACCGTTTGTGACGGGGGAACGGCAATTCTCAGCCGTTCATCGAATTAGTGGGGCCCGCTTGGTACAGCTCGCTGACTCTCTCAATCATCACACTTTTTGACCGACAGCAAAAGTCCTGATTCGAATGACCCGACAAAACAACCTGGTCCACGGCCCGTGGTTGATGGGCCGCCGGCCCAATACGCAGCAGCCCATCAATCTCCTTCCGGGTCAACGGCAAGACACTCGCAACGCGGAATATTGCAAGATCTCAATTAATCCAGAAAAATAACCACATCCCCATTAATTATCTTGAAAATATCTTGAAAACTATATTCATCGAGCAAAGTTCGGCGCACATAAAACAATCGATGCGAATAATAGTGCAACTATTACAGGCGGCCAATTAATTATTTATTTATTTATTTATACATACATACACACGGAGAGCAAAGGGTTCGGAGGACCTCAGGAACAGGTGGACGAATCTAGTAGCCCAGCCACGCGGACGGGATGGTCTGGAACTTACACTTGGCACGTGCCAGCACGTCGAAATAGTCAATGCGATCGAAGCAGTCGCGGAAGTCCACGAACAGCTTCTCGAACACCTTCCACTGGACCTTGTACGATCTCGAGTACGGGTACGGCAGGAACACCTGCCCAAGGAGAAATCCTGCTTCAAAAGGTAATCACACATACTCTCCCGCATACTTTCATCAATCAATCTATATACATATATGGATATATATGCAATCATGGTTCTTGGGGAGATTCATGCTCACTTCTCTCTCTTGGGCAAGGTGCTTGAGCAAGATGAACGTGCGCTCGTTCTCCTCCAGATGATTGATGACCGCTATCCAGATCTGAGATGCGAGCTGGTCGGCCCGATCTCTTGTCTTGCCGCAGGCAATAAACTGGTCTGCTCAAAGTCAACAAAACAGAGCTTAATTTCAAGAAATTAAAATATTTTCATATCCCCCCCCAAAAAAAAAAAAAAAGGCAGATCATTTCAAAGAAGATAACATTTTTCCAGGACTTAATGAATTAAAAGAAAATGCTTAAAAAAAAGGAGAACGGAAAACCCACCAATGATGGTTCCATGAAGAACCCCAGGAGATGGAAGAACAGTTGAACGTTCAAGCTGCTCCTTGAGGTACAAGTAAGCATGTCCGGCGAGCTCATCCAGCTCACCATCACATGAAACAACGTGTTGGCTGACATACAAGGCTGCGTATCTCCTGCGGCGCAACAGACATCATCAGGCATTGTCCCCCACCAGGCTTTGTTGTTGCGACATTCTCGAAGCTTTCAAGGTCGTGAATGTATACTCAATGGCTTCTTTAAGGTACTGTTATGGAATATGAAACGGCATAAATAATAATACTAAGAAAAACATTCAAACCTCCTAATGTCTGTCAGTAAGCTGTGAATATGAAAGAAATATCTTCAGGTTCCATGAATGCAGTTCACAATCGTTATAGCTCTCTGTCCATGGTAGTCCGTCCAACTTGAGGGAAGTAATTGATTGTATTCGTGAACTATGTTTTAGCACAGTTTGATCTGAGTTGAACTAACGAAACAGGTGATGAAATGGGGAATAGGAACAGCGTCTCGATACTGGTGTGCAAGAAATCAAGGCACCCACCCTCACGAATCTCGTGAGAGACTCTGTGGGGAATGATATTGCACCAAATCTATTGGCAGACTTGTTAAAATTTATTTAACTATGACCAACATTATATAAATTGGAAATTATTAATCGTCAAATCGTCTCACCTGGTACGAAAGTGGGGCTTCCAGTCAACACTCGTCAACTTCACATCAAATCGCAACTCAGAAACTGAAAAAACAGGGTCGGATCACATAGGACACTCTCTGGCAGCACTATTTGACTCTATCCAACACGTACAAGTTCATATACATCTTTTTCACTACAGTGGATTCCTTTTTTAACCATTCAACTCAGGCAATCCTAATACATATCAAACATTAGAATCTTTCGATATCAAACCAGATCATGTAAATCAGCGCAAGTAAACTCGAGTTGCCAAATAATTTTTCTGGCAGCTGGACACGGGTTGAAGGTAATCATGTTCCTCTTTAAATTTACATCATTTAGTGGGAAATTTTCCTAAGAGGCTATAAAGTGCACAAAATTAAAAGTCTCTAAATAACAAGTTACTTGGTAATCGTGAATCTGGGAATAGGTCTGCGGCGGGAAAGGTGGTGACAAAAATTATCCTCCAGGGAGCATAAAACAAGATGCACTACAACGCAATAGGATGTGCTTCAATCACCCAGTGAGCATAAGCGTCAACTGATAAAAAACCCAGACCCTCACAGTATCATCCAAGCGGTTGCATGTTTTTCAATTAATTGACAGTCTTCATCAGACGAAAGAAAACTGGTGAAAACCAGATTCAGATATATATAGACATATATGTAGATGTAGATTTGTGTGTAAGAGAGAGAAGTCAAAATGGCATATGGGTCTCACCTTCTGCTTAAACCTTGAGGAATCGGTCCAGGCCACCGTTTCCCTTCCGCAGCAAAGGGCCATGTCCTAACGAGAGCAGTTTGCCACAAAGAATTCCCTCGGAAAAGGGCTGCCCACTGCTTCTTGACACTGGATACTTGAGCCCAGTCCCAAATGGGTACTCGAACAAAAATTTCTATGAGGAGATGATCGGGAAACTTTCCAAGAGTGCAATCATTATCCTCCGTCATTGGGCTTCAGGAACAAGGTTCTGTCAAAAAAAGTAGCAACAAAATAATATGCAGACGTCCACTATCAAACTCTAGACTGAATTTTTTTTACATAAACAGAAAAGTTGAAATTCTTCCATGCAACACTAAAACAAAATAGTTGATCATAAGCACTCAATTCACTTTCCTACACAAGCTACATTCTGGAGAAAAATCTTTCACGCTGGTGCATGGTACCTTCAGGAAAAAGAGATAATGGAGGCGGCACTGGCAAGTATATCACGAAACAAACTCTATCAATTTAACAAAGAAAACCGAACTCTTACTGGTTATTTGCGTCGATGGAGATTTACAGTAATCTGATCCACCATAACATGCAAAAATGCAATAAGTCATTCATACCTCTGATTCAGAGACTCCGTAAAATGAAAGTGAATACGTATGAGAACAACCAACTAGATGACCCGTTCCTTTGAATAGAGAAACCTATAACCCTTTAAATTCATGCATGTTATTGAAAGAAAAGTAATTAAGAGGAATAAAACAGAACGATATCACATCATTCTATTCCGACTAAGGACAGCACCCAAAATACCCAAAATATTCTAGGAAAAATGGTAACTCTGGAGCAGTAGTAATGATATAACAAAATAAGACTAAAAAAAGCAGATGAACAAATGAAAGGTAAAAACTAGCGGAAAAAAAAAAACTCCGGGAGGCATGAACCTTGTTCCTTACTGAAAAGCGATTTACTTACTGGCCACAGAACCATCAAATACATCAAAAAAAGACGTCGAAATACATCAAATACTCATAACACTCTCAACTGTCCACTCCGTTTGAGCGATCGGCGCATGTGTCCGAGACGGACGCTTCTCGCACTCAAAAGAGAAAACAAGAAGAAAAAGGCAGCACCAATCCAAGCACCTGAAAGAGGCCGTCGGAAGCTCCCCTCAGCTCGGGAGAAGCCTGCGTAGAGCACCCAATCGAATCGAGATTGCGGAAGATCCCCCCTCCCGAAGGCGGCTCTGCCGTGAGCAGGTGAATTTCTGGCTGCTCTGTTTCTAGTTTTCTGATAATTTTTTTCTCACGTTCGTATTCGTGACGAAAACATGTGGTCCCCCTACATCCCTCCACAAACGTGTACCACAATTCCTAATGTCTGCGATGAAGCCCCCAGGCGGGCCACGTCACATGTTCTGGTGGTAGAGATTTGATTATAATGGCCCGTAGCGACAGCACACCGGAATCGGCTAGCACGCTCAGCAATCCAATCCAAGTGAATGGGATTGACCGGGCGTAGCCCTAGCCCACCACCTCCCTCCCCCCGGGGGGAATCTGGTTCTCCAGAAAGATAATGGGCCGGGAATCTGGTTATGGCCCAGTTAATCCATTTATTATATTTTAACTAAAATGTACTATAAAAAAATTATATTCTGAACGGGCCCACAGAGCCAATGGAAGCGCAACCGTCAGGCATCTGGGCGACGGGTTCAAGCCGACCGAGTTTCCGAGTTGGCCCGAGTTGGCCCGAGTTGGCCCGAGTTGATCGCAAAGGATCGGTGGCGAGAACCGCAGCCACGAACTTATCCCCCCAACCGCAGCCACGAACGAACCGTTTTGTTCTAGAAACTTCCTAACAAACTTTTGCAGTCATAACCGCCTCCGCCACGAGAGGGCGTGGAGATACCGATTACAAATGGAGGGGGGGGTGGTGCCTATAAATAGGAACGGTTGTGGAGGTGGCAGGGGCGTGCATTGTGAGAGGATCCTCGCATGAAGAAGGAAGGGGGCGGAGTGCAGCCAAGGATGACTTGCCGACGCGGCGAGCGAGCGGGCTCCATGGCGGTGACGCTGAAGAGGCGATACGTCGGCAAGTTGTTCTTGGCTACATACTGCTGTCTTCTTCTCATGCCAGGCCCTCATACGGAAGACTTGAATTTCCGATCTCGGGGAAAGCCGCTGGAATGAACGGACGCTAGATGCTCTCGTGAGAGCATTTCATAAGGTTCTACTTTGCTCATAACCGTTTTAACAAGTTCCTGTACTTTCGCCGTGATCGATGGATCTTTCTAACTGAAACAAGATCCTTCGATCGAGATAGCAATATGATGGAATAACGTGTTCCTTCGAACGCGTCGTACTCATGCGTGTCATTTCTCACTCGCAGTTCATGAAGCCATACGGACGGCCCGTTTGAAGATATTCTTGTCGGAGTTCATATTATTGCTGAATGTATTCCAGTAGAAATTCTTATGAGAAAATTGAAGTTGGCAGATCTTGGTTCTTAATTTACAATAATAACTTATTTGTTTCCAAAATTTTATATGCACATGATTTTCACTGATTAAATTTATCCCCAGCGGACATGTTCGAGTTCCCAAGATAATCGCAACGAAGGGAGTAACTACCAAGAGAGACAGCCTAACGAGAGGCAATGGCAGAGAGCAAGTTCGAGAGGACTTCATATCAGACACCCTGGGAAGTTTCGCGCGTCACCTGTCTCCATCTGGATATATAGATAACATGTACGGACGAGTTGAAATACATCGTCGATATTATTTGTAATATTGATTGATTTGTGAGGGAGACGAGAAAAGGATCCTCATCGGAATTTATGCTTAAATCCCGAACTTGTGAGGGAACCAAATTGTTCACCAAATTATATCTCCCTCATTCCTGGCTCTAAAATCTCACATGCCAACTTGTTAAACTTGCGCCTGCATCTCATCTTGCCGGTATCGTCATTTTTCTTCGTTGTTGGAGAACCTGACTGAGCAGAACAGCAAGCCCAAGGCAGATAAGTGGGCAGCAACGCCCAACCTCAGAGAGAGAGAGGGACCCTATAAAGTGATTGGGTCGTTTGCTGCAGCAGCGTAGTTTTCTCGATAAGGACGGTATCCCTTTCTCGGGGACTAATGACAGACGTGGGCGTGTCCTTCCAAATTTTGAGCACATTTGCAGATTATCCCGTGTCAACATTTTCTCTCGGAACGGGACGAACTAGACGTGCATGAAAGCACCTGTCGATTTTGCATGTTTGGAACAAATTTTGAAGGCTCGAAGATAACTCTTGTCTCAACACTGTTCATTTACCACGTTTCTGATTAAAATCCATCTCTCTCTCTCTCTCTCTCTCTCTCTCTCTCTCGTTTGTTCTTCGCAGCCACACGCGTCGATCAGGTGATGCAGAGAGATCATGAGAGGAGGGGGGAAGAGAGGAGAGAGAGAGGAGATCTTTTGTCCGGGAGGCTCGAGCGATTCGCCGGGGCGATGGCGGCTGGCAGTGGGCCCACCGTGATGATTGGCTGTCCGGACAAGCGCGTCCGAATCTGTACGCCACCAGAATTCTAGAAATCCATCCAGGTCCAACCGTCCGCATTGGCCATCCGGAAAGCCAAAATCCGATTCCTTCACCTTTCTGTACCGCTAAAAGAGACCCAGATCTTGAAGACGGTCAAACAAGTGGTTCTCCATTTAGCGCCACTCCCTCTCTCTCTCTCGCTCGCTCTCGCTCTACACAGATATCTTCTACGCGGCAAAGCTTGCCCGAGGAATAGAATATGTCCGAAAGTCTGTGAGTGGACCCTGACGAAGGGCTCTATCTATCACAGAGAAAGGAAGGATGGGAATTCTGTGGGTGCTCCCTGGGTCTCCATTCCATCGTTTTGTGGCCCTCCGCGCCTCCCGCCCCCCCCCCCCCTCACCCAATCCAGGGTGAGCCAAGTCCCCTCCGCTGCTGCTATAAATCTGAGAGCCCGTCGACGGAGAAGGTGCCGTGGATGAATACGGGAACATGGACGGGAGGGGGGGGTTGTGGGTGGGCGGAAGAGTAGGTTTCTCTCTTATTCGTTCAGTCGTAGCACAGAGAGATAGAGAGAAGACCTCCGGTGCAGAGATGGTAGCATGAAGGGGCAGAGAGTGGGGTGCAGCCAAGAATGACTTGCCGGCATCAAGCCAACAAATGACTTGACGGCCGCAGGCCGGAGCCGCGCGGTTGTGACCCGCCGCCGGCAGGTTGTTCTTGGCTACACGTCGCTTTCTACTTCTCATGTTAGCGTCTCTCACGCGCATCCTACGTTGAAGTAACCCATCAGCCTCGAAGTCGAATTGTCCTCTTGTTCTTCTTGTTCTTTTTGTTCTTGTTCTTGTTCTTCTTCTTGTTCTTGTTCTTTTTGTTCTTGTTCTTCTTCTTCTTCTTCTTCTTCTTCTTTCTTGTTCTTGTTCTTGTTCTTCTTCTTCTTCTTCTTCTTGTTCTTCTTGTTCTTCTTGTTCTTCTTGTTCTTGTTCTTGTTCTTCTTCTTCTTCTTCTTCTTCTTCTTGTTCTTCTTGTTCTTCTTGTTCTTCTTCTTGTTCTTCTTGTTCTTCTTGTTCTTCTTCTTCTTCTTCTTCTTCTTCTTCTTCTTTCTTCTTCTTGTTCTTGCTCTTCTTCTTCTTCTTCTTCTTCTTCTTCTTCTTCTTTTTCACTGCTCGAAGTCAAAGCTGCAAAAGGTGATATCTAATTTAGAGAGAGAGACACACACACACACACAATAAGAGGAGAGAAGATATTTCTGTACGAGTTTTGGGTTTTGGATCTCCATAAACTAACTAGATGGGTAAACTATCCCAAACTAACCTGATACTTATCGCTTAGTCCATCAGTTAGAGAGGCGACGGATGTGCATCAAACCGCTACCTGCTCCACTCCATTCAACCGGGCGAGAAGGGGAGAGAAGGTCATCACCAGAGGAGGAGGATAGAGGGGGAAGGGGGAAGGGAGAGGAGAGGGGACCCACCGTTCTCATGCTCTTTCCATCTCTCATCCTCCTCCATCCTCTCCCACCTCCAAAACAAAAGAAAGGATCGATCAGCAAGACCTGTTCTTCAAAAATCCAAGACCTCGCTGGTTTCATCCAACATATGGCGAGGACACAAGGGGCATATCCGCTCGCCTAGGGATCGAAACTTTTCAACGGAGAAGCCATCCGGATTCCCCGTATTACGGGCCCTTCACTCGCCTTCCCTCGTCGTCCTTCGTC